TATGTATCTGTATTTTTTTTTCGTTTGTATGTAGATCATTTACCTATAAGATTCTTTCTTATAAGCTTTTCCACCCACCGAATTTCGTGCCACATTCTGAATGATAAACAGTGAAATAGTAAGATGAATGTTGAGAAAGCGCCCGTCGGCATTTCAATTAATTGTGTTTAGAGTATATTTTAGCATTTTTCTTATATGTTACTGTTGCTGTTGTTGTTGTGGGTGAAGAACTTTCTACTTCATTTGAATGCAAAGGCAAATCCGTGAGAGACCTCCAAAAGGCAGACGAGGCCAAAGCGTCGATGAGCAGCTTGTTGCATTGCATTTTGATTTGCCATATACGAATATATGTATATATAAATATATGTACATATATGTGTATGTATATGTGTGTGCCTGTATGTGGGTGTCCGTTGGCCATGCCCAGTTCAGTTAGCTTTGCATGAGTCAGTTTTCTAGTTTTAGCACACACACCCAAAATCCAATTGGAAAAATCAAAGTTTCTTTTGGTTGTTTTCTTTGTGTTTCGCGCTTTGCTGATGCCTTCCAGTCACGTCGAACGGCTCCAGCCCCAATTTCAATTACGCACGTCGCATTTAGGGGCGTGGCAGGCAGCCAGACATGCTAAAGCCGCTGCAACTGTGTGCACTGTGCAACATTTTTGGCGCTTTCGCCATTTGGGGTCGCCGTTATTAATTCGTCACGATCGGAGTGGCAGCTGCAACAAGCAGCGAGCAGCGAGCAACGTCAGCTGTTTACTTAAAGGGAAATTAAAGAAAAGCTGTCGCTGCCACAGCTGCCGCACGTGGCACACCGACGTTGCCTCTTCACGATTTCCGTTTTGATGCACTTTCCAATGGGAATCCAGTTAGAGCTGTGCGGTTGAGAAATCGAAGCTGTGATTAACGATAGCTGAAATGACAGCATATCGATAAATTCAATTTGAAAGCTTAAAAAAAAAAAAAAAACAATTGCAAAGGTGAATAGAGTGACGAAAATGGGCTCAAGTTTATGTGAAACGATAACAATCAGTTATCGATATGCATAAATATCGATCACCATTGTAATTGTTGAAGAATAGTTTGTTATTTGTACTTATAAGACATATTTAAGTAACTCTAATATCTGGTACTAAAGATTGCACTGCTATCGACATAATTTATCGAGTTATCGAATAAGAAAAGAGACAATCTTGTATAGCAGCTTTGTCTAATTTTGAAAAAATAAAGATATATACATAGTTATTTATTTTAGAGTCTCACTGGAAGACTGTTAACACTAAATATCGATAATAACTTAAATCGATAAATTAAATGTAAAGTCTTATTATCGAAAGTCTTTGTGAATTTCTTTCCTAGGCTAAATCCGAATCTAAATCTCTAATTAGAATAGTCAATACACATCTACTCTACGTCACTCCGCTATTTTTTACTCTACGCCAATATTTTCTACTCTAATCTCTTCTTGTTTACCCTACTTCATGCATTTATTTTCTTTTCAAGTGTTCTATATTCTCTTTCGCCTTACCCAACTCTACTGTTTTCCACTCTTCTAGTTTTTCTTCTTCTTCTTTCTATTCTACACTAGTTTCTGATTCTTTTTTCAACTCTACTCTGCTTTTTACAATCCTTTTCGCTCTTTATAAAATGTACAAATAATTCGTGTATAATAATATATTCCAGTTTAACTCATTCAAGATCATTCAAGAGTTTCATTAATTTTATTACTCATCCTCTTCTTCGTATTTTTAAGATTGTCGCTCACAAATACTCTAAAGTATGGCTACCTCTTGGCAATCAAATTCCAAACCATCTATTTTTAGCTTGATGCGAAACTCTTTTCTTTTCTTCTTATGTTTCATCTTCGTTTTATGATTCTTTTTCATCTCTTCCCACATTTCTTTATCTTCATTTTGTATTCGTTGGCTTGCTTTCCCATATCTTATAATTTATTTATAAACATTTTAATTTTTTTTAAAGTTCATAACAAGTTAATAATATTATATAATAATATAATAATTGCTGTTTGGTATAAATCATCTATATCAAATTAGTCGAAAATCCTCTAATCGAATTATTCATCTCGCCTTCAGCTTCATTTGAGCCAATTAATTAAGCCAAATACCAAGAGTTTACGAAATATTATTAATTGAATCGTTGCCTTATAAATGCATCCATATAACATATATATATAGACGTATATACATACATAGGTATATACAGATGCAAACTTCTGATTTCCGCATTAAATTGAGCTTTAACAAATTATAATTAAAATTATATGAGATTTTTAATAGTTTTTTCTTTTTTTCGTTTCCATTATAATTATGTATAATTTGTGTGTATTTTTTTTTTTTTTTTTAGTAAAAGTCTTGCATAATCTATAATTAATTTATGCAGTTTTCACACTTAATCACGAAAGTTAAATGAGTATATTGGCTTTGTGCAATGTCCGTTCGTCTGTCCATCTGTCCGTATGAATGCAAACCATTTCTATACGTGTTGAACTATAAAGTGCCCAGATTTTCCTGGATGTTGCACAATGGGTGTGGCAAATCGCCTATCCCTGTATCGGATAAAACTTCACTCCGTAAAGTGGATTGATTCACCTACCGATCATGAATAAAAGATCCAAGATATTTGCATTCCCATTAAGAGTTTAAGAGGAAAACAATAGTCCATCGATTGCATAATATTCATTCAGTAGTTCGAAAAACAGCTTAATATACATATTCAAATATTAATATTTTGCGATTGCTAATTCTAACTGTAAAATTTTGCCCTGACCTCAATTAGCTTATATCTATGCAAATATGCTATCGTATTCTAAATGACATAATTTGAAATCTGAGATTTAAATCAGTTAAGAATCAAGTAAGACTGCTTCAGTTGAGGTTGCTCCACGAGAAGATTGCCTGAACTCTATAAATAATTAATATTCCAATCACTCTTCGCTTCGCTTCTGTATATAAAACTTACAATTTATATTTAGATATAATAAATATATTTCTTTAACTGATTTTTATATGGGTTTTAACCGATAGCACTGAAAAGGGAATACATAGTTATCAATTATGAAATAAACTGGTGTATAAAGAAATTCCAAGTCTCTAGCTTTTATAAGTTCTGAGAACGAAACGTTCGAATATACGGACAAATGGATGGACAGGCAGTCAGGACTAAATCTACTGAGCTCGCTGTCCTGATCAAGAATATACGTAGATATATATGTATACCACGCCTCCTTGTGTCTTTTACATACATTTTAGCAGATCCATCATGCCCGGTTTTTGCCATTTTGAATGGATTTCCGGGGTGTACAAATATATTTTCTCAGTTTGCATATAGAATTTTGTTAGAGCGTGGAAATTGTTGCTCTGGCAGCATTATTTGAAGAGGAAAATAATGAAACTTTCGTTTGTGGCATGCGGGGAGGTCAGACATCAATAGCTCCCACTGCACCCACTGCCCTCTCTTTGGCCATTTGACAGCAAGGAACAGGCTGTGAAAGTGCAGCGTGCAATAGAGTTCAAAAGACTTGGGCCACGAACTCGTTTGCCATTGACAAGTGTCATTGGGAGACGAAGCAGAAGACGAAGGCGAAGAAGAAGAAGCGCAATTCGAATCGCTTGCAATATTTGTCGCCATTGCCGTTACCGTTGCTGCTGTTGTTGTTGTTGTTGCTGTTGTTTGTCTGGTTCCTCAGCGAAAGCGAATTTTTGTGCCAACTGCAGTCAAAAATGCAAAGCCAAGGCGAAAGAAGAAAAAAAAAAATACAGTAAAATAAAAATGCGGCAACGTCGTCAGCGAAATGAAAGTGTTTTGTTTTGCTTTGTTTTATACATATTTCTTCTCATCCATGCTGCTGTTGTTGTTGTTAGTGGTGGTGGTGTCCCCCAAAACGCGATACGGCAACTCTGCAGCGCTAATACACAGTGGGCGACAGCAGTAAACAATTCCCACGACTCCAGATGCATGCATAAATAAATATGAATATGCGGGAATTTACATGTTTTGTTTTATTATTGTTTTTGTTTTTTTTTTTTTTTTATCAATTTTAATTAGCTAGCTGGCTTAAATATGAAATTTTTATAGTTTAAGTATGTTGGACGCTCCACGGTGCGGCGGCAACATGTTGCGATCAAACATGTTTATAAGCTGCATTCATGCTGGCGCGTGTGTGCATGTGTGCATATGTGTGTGTGTGTGGATTTTAATGAATTTTCCTAATTAGTCTTGTGAAAGAAAAGCGAAAACGAAACGTGGCATAGGTTGTTGCTGCCGCTGCCGCTGCCGCTTGGTGTCGCTCGGGCATTGTTGATACGAAATGTTGATAGCAACACATAACATGACACAAAGTAAAAGTTGCCGAATCGAAAATAAAAGTTCAGCAACAGCGACGACGCCGAAATATGTTAATATGTGCATATATGTATAGATACATATACATACATACATATATACAATATGTGTGTGTGTGGGCAAACGAAAAGATGAGCAAGGGAAACGCAGCCGCAACTTTCTTTCTTTTTGGCGCCAGCGTCGCTGTCGCTGTCGATGTCGCCTCGGGGCGCTGATCGCTTGACATTGGCTTCGTTTATGGGCCATCATTGCTAGAGTCGAATCTACATATGTATGTATGTATGTATATTTTTGTATGTATGCGAGTGTGTGTGTGTTTATGTTATTTGTTATGTTTGTAATCTTTTGGCATGCTAACTGAAATACAAACAGCACGCACGCACTCACACTCACACACACACACACGCACAGTCTAACTGGAGCAGTTGTCTTAAGGTTGAGCTTGAGTCATGGCTTAAGCGAACCCGAACCCGTTGGCCAAACGGTCGTCCGGTTGGAGTGTTAAATTTGTACAATTAGCACCTGTTGGCCGCGTGCATGCTATCGCCATTACCATATCTGTAAATTTACTACGTTATAAATGTTTTTCTTTTTTTTTTCATTTTTAAATTTATAAATTTTGTTTTTGTATTTTTGCAGATCAAAAAATCTCGCGATGCAGACAAAAATATTGGCGGCAGCAATTCGACGGCAACAACAGTAACAAATACATCAGGAACCGTAGTAGCGGCAACAGCAGCAGCAGCGGACAAAAGGAACAGCAGCAACAGCAACAACAACAACAACAATTGCAGCAACAATCGCAATAGCAGCAAAGACAAAAGCAAGGAGATGCAAACAAATGGCGGCAAATCCAATTGGAAGGTAATTAAACGGAAATGTAATCAAATACATACATACTTACATAGTTAATATGTAGGCACGTGTGTGTGTATACATATGCACACAACTTCGTTTGCGCAATGAAGTGCAATAATTAAAGAGAAGAAAAGCCCAAAGCTGCAAAAGAAAGAAGGAAACAAGCGTGAGTGAGAGTGCGTGTGTGTGTGTGTGTGAGTGCGAGTGTGCGGTAATATGAGTTGCTTGCACGTGCGCGCTCTCTGCTCCCGTTATGCGGCCGAGTGACTTTTGACGAACTCCTCTGACTGACATTAATAAGCGAGCTCCAGTGAGTGAAGTGGAGGAAGAGTGTGAGTGAGATGGCTAGAGAGAGAGAGTGGCGAGTGCTACGGCGGCTGCTGCTTTGCAATTGCAACAGACAAATGCAAATGGCGTTAATAAGTTAACTGAATACATAGAAACATATACCATATTATTATTATGTATGTGTGTGAGTGCGTGTGTGTGTGGATCTCTTAATGTGCGACATGGTCAATAAACGCAGATGTTGATTATGAAATGAGGAAACCATTTACGCACTCTCTTAGCGCGCAAAGTTTAATTACATTTTTGTGCTTGTTGCTGCTCATTTAGTTTATTATTGTTACATGTATGCGCATGTGTATGTGGAGCTTCATATGTACATTGTTCACGCGTCTGACGGTGGCGGTGGCGATGGCGATGGCAGCAGCAGCAGCAGCAGCATCACGCAGAGAAAAGTAGGCCGCACCGCGACCTGTTTACCGCCAGCGGTCCAGCCTGGCCCGGCGCGGCCCGACGCGGCCCTCCCGTCATGTCAGACACTACATTATTTTGCTTAGCTTGCGCTTTAATTAATTTTCTAAATTGTGTTTATGTGCATAGACTGTGCTTGTATGTTCTCTGTACCGTAGCACATTCACAATTGCAACATAACCGACCGCATGGATTCCCCCTCTCTCTCTCTCTCTCTCTCTCTTAACCACTCTCTCAAATGTGGTCCGTTTTGAACATTATGAACCAATTGTGATGCAAGTAGTTCAGCTTATTATGCAGGCGCTGCCGGCCTTTTGATTCTCGAACGTTGCCAAGTAGTTTCAATTTTTCGGTGTGGCTTGCAGGCGCTTTCAGCCTCTGGATCCTTACCTGCTGCCGTATAGTGGCAGTTGACAAGCTGTCAGGTTTTTAATCCTAGTCAGTTGCCAGCTGGCTACAATTCAAAAATGCCCCTTGCATCCGCCCCACGTAGTTCGCTATTTCAAGTTATGGCAGTTGGAAAATCTTATTATGCATGCGCTGCCAGTCTGTGGATCCTTTAATGCTGCCGGATAGTTGTAATTTATTAGTGTCGCCTGCACACTCCCACACACAGTGCGCTATGTGAAAGTTTAAACTAAATTAACTAAACGAAATAAATGGCAGTTGGACAATCTAATTATACCAGAAATTCACCGTTGTCATTACCATTCATCATTGTCGCCTACATCCCACTCTGGTAATTGTAACATAATTATATGCTTGGTTAGTGACGGCAGTTAAACAATTTTATTGGGCAGGCGCTGCCAGCCTATGGATCCTTGAAAGTTGCCAGATAGTTGCACTTTAGCGCTTATCGTTTTCAAACAAGATTCAACTGCAAACAGGCAAATTGGTTCCGTAATTACTTTGCGAAAAATGAAATTTAAAGTGACGCGTCGCTTCCTTGGTTTCTGCTGCATGCAAATATTGCATTTGCCGGGCATTTGCATGTGCCGCAGCAAAGTGAACAGCATAAAATTCCAGCAATTATTAACGCGCTCAAGTGCATTCATTCATTACCAAGGCACTTGGCACTTGGCGTGTTTTGGCGTTCGTTTCGTTGGTTGATTTAACGGCATGATTTGGCGCAAAATCAGCGTGTTTAATTTTAAGGCGATTTTGTGGTCATTGACCAGTGGTCCATGGCCGCTGGAAATCTTGCCGCCGGCTTTTGGCCATGTCACTAATTGCGAGTGAATAACAATTTTGTCTGCTCTTAGGGCCTCGTCCAAAGCAATCCCAATCCCAATGGCAATGGCAATGGAAATGGCACAGCAGTTGCCGCACAGCCGCCCAAGGTATTCCACAACACACGCTGCACGCGACACCATAAGCCTCATCACTCCCACAGCAATGGCAACGGACTTGTGCCGGCTGGAGTGGGCGCTGGGGCTGGAGCGGATCAGCTGCACCAGGCACAGCAGCAACAGCAACAGCATCACCTGCACATGCACAGCCACAGTCATACGCATGCGCATCATGGACTGCGCCGCAAGTCCGAGTCCGTGCTGTCCACCGACTCGGACATACGGTTCACACGCCGCAAGCTGGGCGACAGCCAGAAGTGCGGATGCGCTGTGATAGCCGGCTTCCTCATCGCTCTGCTGGTGGCCGGCGCCTTCGTATACGTGGGCTGTGAGTAACCAAGCCAAGTTAAGCGAGTGCCTGAGCTAATGTGACCTTCCATTGCAGACACTTACTTCCGGCCGGAGCCGTTGCCGGACCGCGTGTTCCGCGGCAAGTTCATGGTGCTCAACGACAAGTGGAGCATGGAGCTGGCCAATCAGAACTCGCTGCGCTTCCAGCACAAGGCGCGCGACTATCGGGAGCGCATCAATCTGACGCTGCGGCGCTCGGACCTACGCGAAGCCTACGAGGGCAGCGAGATTCTGGCCTTGGATGGGTAAGAGCTCAGCTTGAGCGACGTGAGCGCATATCCCATATGAATATATTCCTTTGCAGAAGCGAGGACAACAACAATATTGTGGTCCACTTCAATATGATATTCGATCCGTATGCGGGCCTCGTCAGCAGCGGGGAGCTGCTGGCCTTGTTCCACGAGGAGCTGAGCGATCCGCACAGGCGGCACTTTGCCAACATGACGGTGGACGTGGCGAGCGTGACGATTAAGGAGACAACGGGCCTGATCGAGGAGCCCATCATGTCCAGCTCGCCGCTGGGCGGCCACGACGAGACCACGGAGCCCACCAGCACCACGCCACGCCCACAGCCGCGCCGCTGCGAGCCGCTGCAGCTGAGCTACTGCCGCAACGTGGGCTACAACGTGACCACCTATCCGAATCTGCTGGGGCATGCCACCTACGAGCAGGTGCTGGACGATGTCATTGTGTTCCGCGAGCTGGTCGACGGCGAGTGCTTCCGCGAGGCCTACGACTTTGTCTGCCGCCTGCTGCAGCCGCCCTGCGAGTCGCACGGCATCAGCCAGGAGCCGACGCCCGGCGCCATTTGCCGCGAGTACTGTGAGGCGTTCATGGCCGGCTGTGGCGGCCGGTTGCCTGCCCGCTTCCGGCAGCACTTCGACTGCGAACGCTTCCCGGAGTCGACGGGCACCCAATCCTGCCAGCAGAAGCCGCACTGTGTGGGCGACATGCAGAGCAATGTGCAGAGTCCGCGCCTCTGCGACGGCTATGCCGACTGCCCGGATCTGTCCGATGAGCGCAGCTGCGCCTTTTGTGCCCCCAACGCCCTCTACTGCGGACGTGGACGGGCCTGTGTGCCGCGCAAGGCGCGATGCGATGGCAAGGCCGACTGCCCGGACGGCGCTGATGAAAAGGATTGCCGTAAGTGGCTACTGCAACAAATTGTTAATAATGTACCTAGATTTATGTATGGTCCCTTGCAGTTTCAATAGCTCCATTGGCCGCGGATCTCTTGCAGCCGGAGCCTTGGGTACCTTATCTGCCGCGCTTCCATGCCGCCGGCTATGCTGTCTTCTCCGAGAAGGGCATTGTAGGCAAGCTGTGCGCTGAGGGTCTAGAGGGTGATGCCAAGCTGGTGGTACGCCAGACCGTCTCGGAATCGCTATGTAAATCGCTGGGCTATGAGTGAGTGTAACCATTTGAAAGTTCCAACGAATTATTCTCATGTAGTGCAATTGTATACGCTTGTCTGGCAACGTTATCAATACCCTGACGAGCTGGCAGCGCTAGTTTTAAATTCAAATATTTAAATTGTACTGCTAGGTGGTAGCACCGAGAGATTTATCTGGAAAGCCATTGTCCGATTGGCGAGCTTGCCAGGCTATATTTTCATTTAAATTTTTAAATTTAACGACCAGGTGGCAAGCACTTGAAAACCATCCTCTGGTTGGCGAGCCGGCATCACTACATTTAAATTTGGCGGTGGCAACGCCTCGAATGAAAAAATAAACTTGAAAATTTGAATATATGATAATCCTATTAATATCTTTAACTAATCTTGTTCTTTGCCAGATCTGTGGAGATTTTTGATGTACAAAATGACACCGAACAGTTGTCGGACTACGTGCGCGTCTTAGACCCGCATGCGCCGGAGATTAGCTTCATACGCACCCATTGCCCCAAGAGACAAGTGCTTTACGTGGGCTGCGGCGATCTGCGCTGCGGAGTGCAGTCGGCGCTGCCCAATGCCAAGCAGCATCTCTCGCTGCCCAAGATGGCAGCTCCAGGCGACTGGCCGTGGCTGGTGGCACTGTTTCGCGAGGATATCCATGTATGCGACGGCACGCTCATCTCGCCGGACTGGGTGCTGACCACGGAGAGCTGCTTCCAGGGTCAGCCGAGGGCCACCTGGATGGCCATTGTGGGAGCAGTGCGACTGTCAGCGAAAGCGCCGTGGACACAGCGACGTCGCATCATTGGCATGATTAAAAGTCCCGTTGAGGGCTCCACAGCCGCACTAGTGCGCCTGGAGACACCAGTCAGTTTCTCGGACCACGTGCGGCCCATTTGCCTGCCCGACGCACTGCAGCGGCAGCAGCAGCAAACGCCGATGCAACGGCGCGCCTATGTCCCAGTGGCCGAGCGCCTGGAGGCGCCAGCTGCATCGCACCCGCAGCGCCGCCTGGCCCAGGAGACGCAACAGTTCTTCCTCATACCCTCGCAGCAGGAGCAGCCAGAGAGCTTGGATGCCAGCACCGAGGAGCATGAAGAAGACATTGGCTATGACCATCTGATGGCCGAGGCCGCCGCCTCCCAAATGCCACGGGCCGAGGCACTGCAACAGTTGCCGGACGGAGCGGATCCTCGTGCCCAGCTGGCCGCCTATCCGCTGCCAGACAGCGCCCCACAGGTCAACTACTACGGCCCATCCTCCGCCTCGCAGTCGTCCAAGACTACAAAGCCACCCAGTGCTCCGGAGCAAATCTGGACGAACTGCAACACGCTCGGCTGGTCCCGACAGCGGGATCATCTGCAGCGAGTCCAGCTCAAGATCGGGGACATGGCGCCCTGTGAAAACATCTCCATAACGACGGTCAATTCCATGTGCATGGAGGCCACCTACCAGAAATACGACTGCACGGTAAGTGCTACAGAGAAATAACTATGTATGTATATGTATATACAGTAGAATCCGGTTATAACGACGCCACCTATAGCGTCCGTACGGTTCTGGTCCTCAGACAAACTTATTTGGGCAAACTTATAAGGTTAGAGCGTTTTCCGGTTATAAGGACGTGCCCTGAGCGTATACCCATTCCTTTTAATGCCCGCCCACGAGGTGCAAAGAGAGTATGTTGGGGGTTTTGCAATCTATTCGATGGTCCATACATAATCAAATTTGGAATGTATATACTCATGTCTTGGGGAAAGAAAATCCATAATGAGAGTTGGATAATTATGGATTTTTGTATATATGTATATACCATATGGATAATTAACAATAATGTTCCTAACGTAGCCTCCAGGCTTCTCTTTCCTGGGCGTGACTTTGTCAGCTACCAATATCAAGTCCTGATATATAATCATTCTGTTGGACCTTCCTCCCCTTCGTTGTATGTGTGTCAAACATAGAGCTGGAGCTGACGCTGAACGTTGACTTCTCCTATATCGCCGTATAGTTCCACCTAATGTTACAGATAATTCACATATTGCTCCCTCGTAGAGCAGCTACATCTAACTGCGCCACTTTCCAGACCTCTGCACTATGAAATGTCGAATGTCATTTAGGTCTCCCGAGGGAGAGACAGAGAGAGAGAGAGAGAGAGAGAGAGAGAGAGAGAGAGAGAGAGAGAGAGAGAGAGTGACAGAAAGAGAGAGAGAGGGAGAGAGAGAGAGTGAGAGAGACAGAGAGAGAAAGGACTCTTATTCACGGTCATTATAGTTCCAAAGTAAAGTCCTTAACGGATGGTCTGCAGCATTAAGTTGAGAGTCGAAATTCCAAGTGAATAACTACTTGCTAATTTCTTTGTGCTACGAAATCTGTTTTTTCGTATGGCGCCACAAGCTCCATATACATATATATACATATATAGGCATCGATATCAACGCCAGTCTTGGGTCCATTTATCTTGTAGGTATACTTTAGCTTGTTGAACTCATTAATACATATATATGTATATATATATTCATTATATTTCATAGTGGAAGAGCTAGAAATATATTTGAGAAATGAGCTATTTTTGATCTTCTCCGTCGATTAATAACAAGTTATGGATGCTTCCATAGAGAAGGAAAATCCAATCGATAATTTCCAATAATTTATAACTGAGATCAATAACCGCAGTTGATTCACAGATTCTATTCTACACTCTACGCGCTCTACTAATTATGTAATCCGCCTCTTTGGCCCTCTCTCCCTAATCCCTCTTTCTCCCTAATCGAAACTCTAGCTGTGTAGAGTTTCGATTGTTTCAGGCTAAATGTAGATATGATCTCCCAATTCAATTTAAGGTCTTATATTTCGCCTAGAAAGAACTTTTACTTAATCGACTGGAAAGTAATCTTAGTGATATGTATGTTGTGTATAGGATTTATATAGGTACATACATATCTATCTTTATATGTAGTATATGGATTTATATATGAATAGATTTATGTTTATTTATTTTATGATTTATTATACATATTTATTATTTCATTTCATATTTTTCAATGTTGCATTCCATTATGTATATGTATGTACATGCATGTGCATGTTTATACGTACATATGTATGTATGCATGTATGTATATGCTTGGAGCTGTAATCCAACCTTAATGTTAAATGTAAAAAAAAAAAATTGAAAATTTTCTATATACAATTTCGTCCTGGTTGAGGGGACAGACTAGTTGCTTCTTTGGCTTAGATGCGTATGGAGCGCTTTGCTGTCGCTAGGAGGGATGTAGTGGGGCCAGCGCTGGGAGCCGATCGCCGCGATCTGTTGGCCAGCTGAAGACGCATTCGCTTGGGCTCCGAATGTGGCTCTGGCTGATCCGGCCGGAGCCGACGTAGCGTCTCGGACGCGCTTTGTTGCTGCCGTTGCTGGAGATAGCGACTCTGTTGACGCACTGCAGCAGCCAGGGCGCTGCCGGGCAGAGCGCCAATGAAGCAATTCTGACGATGCACGGGCACCGCCGCATAATCCGCCGTGGGATCAGCTTCGACTCCAGATCGTGGCTGGGCATCGACTAGGTCGCCCGTCGACCGCCGTCGCTTGACGGGCTCTAGTAGGGCGCGGCGCAGCCTTTGCCAGTTGATGCGCAGCTGGAACAGAAGCTCCGGGCAGGGGAACAGCACCAGGAAGTACTCCAGCAGCTGCTTCTCGAACTCGTAGCCCTGGCCGTTGGTCAGCATCAGGCCGGCCCGCTGCGTCTCGGGTATGCGGAAGCGAGCACAGACTGTGGGAATCGAGGGAAATTCATTAAATTTTCATTAAGAGGAAAAACAAATTGCAAACTCCATTTACCTTGGCTAATGATTTCCTCATAGCTGCTGCCCGCGTCGCAGATAATGAAGCTCACTTCGCCCTGATAGCTGATCTTCAGGCAGTTTTTTACTATATCCAACATGGTGAAATTCGTGAATGACGCCTGCGCTGCGTTCAACTAACTGTTAATTCCTTCTTCCTCTTCTCCGTTTGCTACTAACACTGAATGAGTCTTCGTTCCGTTCACTTGCACTGCCGACGCTCGAATAAACGGGGCTTTGGCGCGCGCTATCGTCTTTTATATGTATGCACATCAGCAGGCAAGAGCGAGACAGAGCATGAGCCTGTTCGATCTAGCACTGCAGCTGCGGCCTGGGTGCAAATTGTTGTTTTTTTTTTCTGCTTTTGCTCTTCTCCTGTCCTATTGAGTAGGTAAGAGAGCTCGCATTGTCCAGGGATGTTTCTAGCATTTGCTATTTGTGTGCGTGTGCGCTCGTGCTATTCTGCATTTGCCTTGCATGTGGGAAAGAGACAGTGCATATTTCGTCTTGTTATTGTTGTTTATATGCCATTACTCACGTATTGTATTTTGTTTTGCTTGTTGCTGAACGCGTCGCTGCATGTCGCGATTGTCATGTGACGTCATAATAGTCAGAAACAGGGTGCTGCGTGCTAAGTTCTTAAATGTAAATACATATGTACATATATATGTACATACATACATAAATGATGTAATTGAATTATTTATTAATCAATTTTGATACACTTGCAGCAAGAGGAATATTCTGGCGCGCCTGTTCAGTGCCTCATACCGGGCACCAACCAATGGGCACTCATTGGCGTCTCCTCGTGGCGCATCGCCTGCGGGCCGACGGGTGTGGAGCGGCCGCGCATGTATGACAAGATTGCCTCCAATGCGGATTGGATACGGGAGACAGTGAATGCGGCGTAGACGCCAGGCGGCATCATATCGTAATCGTAATTGTTGTAAAAAAGGAAGGAAAAACTAACGTGTATTATGTAAAAAGCAAGAAGAAGCAACCTTAATCATAACTTAATTGCATGTTTTAATCTAATATTATGTATTATTATAACCAGCCCCTTTTTTTTTACTGTTTTGTGTAATATTTATTAACTATTTTAACTGTATGCTAAACAAAACATTAAAAGAAGAGAAGAAAACAAAGGACATTTAGTTAGTACTACATTTAGTTGCTGTAATTATAATCTTTGTTTGTATTTGTTGAGAACAATTGTTTTGCTATTGCAAATGATAGTTGAATAAAAATAAAAATTAAATATAAAATGGAAGTGTGTAAAATACAGTTGGATCTATCTATCCCTCTCATCATTGATGAGGGTCCAGTTCAGGTCGCCACATGCATTGCCTCCCATTTGCCATTCGCCTGCCGGCGATATTGGACCCGATCCGCGATCTGGTTCACGCCCACTTTGAGAAAGTCATAGCGCTGGGCCTCAAACTTGAAGGCGGTGCTGTGTAGAGGTGACAGATTGTTAATGTGAAATACTGTCAAAATACTTTCAGGAACATACAATGTTGGGGGACGCTGCAGTGGCTTTCCGTTCTCTCGGTATTCCTTGAGGAACTGATCGTGCTTGGCCTTGAGCTCGTCGTAGTCCACCGGCTGGCCACAGGGAAAGATGATGTCACGTATTTTTGCTGATAGCAACTCTCTGTTCCACCATGCATCCAGCTCGGACTCGGGCAGCTCTACGGCGGTGGCCCCCAAGAGGCGAACCTGCCAGATGGAGGGCGTGGTCCCTTGCGAAGGCAGCATTACCTCTGGCATTAGGATGGTAACGCCACATTTGGCATTGGCCTTAATGTTCTTATAGTTTCGTGTAAACCTCTGCGTTACATAGATAATGCATTTGTCAGCGCTAATGCCGCGGTACAGCACGGTTCGGTTAAGTACGGCAAATTCATCGTCGACGGTGGCCAAATTCATGTATTGCTGTGAGTTTGGGTGATGCTTTTTGACTGCATCCAGTAGCTGTTGGAGAAGGTCGATAGGCTCATCTGGATAGTCGACAATGTGCGCCACTGATGATTGTTCCATTTTGCGTGCGAATGAAAGCTGCAATAGATATTACGAAATTCATAAACACAATTTAAATTTGAATTTGAATTTAAATTAGAGCGCTCTGCACACAAGTTGGCAGCTTGACAACCAGCTATCGAAAGCAAAGTTCAGCTGGCGATATATCGTCATAGGAATTGTCTGAACAGTTATCGATTGTCGACTGTCATGTACCAGGCACGTAAATAAATAAAAAAAAATCAAAAAAACAAAATTGTTACTGTTTATAAATACACCCATCTGTCCATCTCAGGTTGACAGCCCAATTGCTGCATGGCAAGCTTTTAAATACTGAGTTTCACTTGTGGTCGATCCACCTACTGCTGTCTGCTGCTATTGTGGCAGCGGCTGCCGCAACGATCCAAAGATGTCCATACTGGATATGAAGGCCGGTCCGCCGGATTATTGGGCAGAGATCGGCAACTTCTTTTTGCCACTGAAATATCTAATTACGAACGATCGCTTCGATGCGCTGGTACAGAATATCGACCTGCATTACCTGATCAATGCCGTTTTCTGGATATTTATAGTGTTATCCTGCGGCTTCTATGGATTTCAGCGCGTCTTCCAGGTGAGCGAATTCGAAGTAGCAACGCCAGACGGCAGTGACAGCAACAGTAAGCGACAGCACGGCGTCCGGCTGCTGTTTGCCGTTGGTGCCCAATTATTTTGGCGTTTATAAATAGTCGACAGCCAGATGTAAAGCGACGACGGCGACGACGTCGACGGCTGTGGCAGCGCCAGCGCCAGCGGCAGCGGCTATGGCAACGGCGACGTTAAGATAAGACATGCGACCGACTGCCGCGACCAACAACTATAAAGATTAAAAACATTTAAAGCATGCAAAACAAAAAAGCCGCACTCAAGCCAAGCTCAGTTGCACACACACACACACACACACACGCATTTGCATAAATATGTCACATAAGCATGATGTGTGCGCGTGTGTGTGTGTGTGCATTGCACCGGGAAGTGTATGCTATGTTCGGCGACTAATTGGCTGTCGTTTATTCTTCTTCTTCGTATTATTATTCATCATCCTCTTCTTCTCTTCTTGTCTGTCCCTTGCAGTTCTTTTTGAAATCGTCAAACGTGAAGTACTTCAAGCGCAAACAGTTCGCTCGATTGATATGGAATATTGCATTCTATGGCGCTTGCTGTCTCTTTCTGCACTTTTACAATGAGTTCATGATACTGCCGCAGCTGATGAAGAACCAGGGCCGCTATTCGCTCTTCCATAGCTCCGACAATCTCATCTTCTATCGCTCCCATCAATATGAGAAATTTCAGTTCTACTCAATATTCATAATAACGTTCTATCTGCATGCAGCGATGCTGGACTTCAAGGAGGCGGACCTCCTGGAAACCGTCTCCAAGGGCCTCTATCTGTTCGCCCTCATCGCCATCGATGTCTACAGGCATGTGCAGCCTAGATGGCCATCTAGACATACTAATTCCGCTAATTTCGAACTATTTTCAAATTTACAGATACGAAAACTATTTCGTTGGCCTGAATCTCACGCTGGGGCTGTACAACATTCTAACGGAATGCCTCTCATTGTTGGCGTTGCAGAATTCGAATCGCAACCGCTTGGTCTATCAGGTGTTTATGGGCCTCAAGATTGCCGCCTGGCTGCATGTGCACATCAATCTGCTGCCCTTCAACTACTTCATACCCACGCTGTTCGCCAAGAACTTCAAGCTGCCGCTCAACGTGGCCATCTGGGTGTGGTATGGCCTGGCCATCTGGAACTCACCGGTGCTGCAGTATTTCTATCATCAGATCTATCACACAGCGCCCTCTGATTGCTCCGGCGAGGGCTCGGCGGCCAAGTGAGCAAACGAAACTCTCTTCTCATGCATTGATCCCATATCATCTCTCATGTCATCTCTCCATGCAGATGCATCCTCATCAAGGACACCAGCGAGTTTCGGCACTTCAAGACGCTGCAGCGGGCCTATCTTGAGGTGAAGCTGGCGCACGAGAAGGCCACATCGAATCCTCTGCCAGCCACTGAGTCCGCCTCGGCCAAGACCTATCAGGCCATCAAGTGTATGGCTCTCCACATATCATCAAAATTATCTCAACTTATCTAAATTGCTTTTTGCAGGCGTTATGATGCTGAAGCGCAAATTGAAGCGTATTCGCGAGGGTCGCGGCGCCGAGCCAGAGGATGATAGCGAGGAGCTTACCACGAATTGATTAGATTCTGTTCTTGACTGCACACAACCAAAAACAACAACAACAACAACAACAACTACTACTACAAACAAACAAAACTGTTTCTTCTGCTTATAAAAGACAAAGCCCCAAGGCCCTAAGGTGCTCGATGCGCCACAATTTCCAACTACCTCCCGAGTCTTGAGCACGCATCCTAATGCACATTTATATTTATGTAAACATACTATACATATATACATACATACATGCATACATACATACATACATACATACCAAAATATAATATAACATACCAAAAGATAAAACATCACATCAAAGACACACACACACACACACACACACACACACACACACACACACACACACACACA